AACGTGAACCGAATTGTTGTTAACATAAAATTAATAATGCCGAATTTGAATGAACGTTTATATAAGAGAATTAACGACTTTAAAACATTTTAAGGAGGGGACTTTAAAGGGGGACTAGGATCAATCTTCGCTCCGGAACGACTTAAGTCCTACTCGGCCGAAGATTGTCAACCCAGCTACAGCTGTATCAACCGAAAGTTTTTTCCCCAGGAAAGAACTATCGGACACAGTCGAACTGTTACAACAACAACAACCAAATTATGCTTGTATAAAACGTAGTTGTGCCTATTTTTGTAGGGATATTTGTATTTCGGCATAATTATAAGCTCTAAATTCCAATTTAGGCGATCCGGTTATATAGGGTTCATCGTTTGGTCAGAAATAAGACATGTACCAAATTTTATCGAATTATTTTCAAAATTGTGACCTGTAGTTTGATTACAAGGTTAACATGAACAGGCAGGCGGACGGTCGGACATGGCTTAATCGACTCATAAAATGATTCGGAGCAGATTGGTATAATAAAAGATGGGTATAGGACCATTAATTCTATGCGTTGCAAACATCAGCACAAATCCAATTTACCCCCACTAAAGTGGTGTATTATATAATTATCCATAGACCCTCGCGTTTTGATTCTATAGTGCTTTAAACGTTTTTTGTATCAATAATTTGATGTCTCACAAACGAAATAATAAAAATCAATATAAAAATGTAATCAAATTTTTCACGATTGATCAATAAAATTTTATTAAAAAACTTACAAAATATAAATACACAGATAAATTGAAATGTAATTGCCATATAAAATTAACAAACTTATCAAAAAGGCATTTAGTCACAACGTTACATGCTATAATAATAATAAAATATAAGTAAAGGATATTATTAAAAAGGAAAGCAACATGTTTCCAAAATTACAAAAAAGTACTTACTACATTAAAAATGTGTTTGAATAGAAAAAAAAAATACAATAAATTGTCTATAATTAAGGATTTTAAAAGTTCTGTTAACGTATACTCTGACGAAATACACTTTGTTTAGCTTTACTAGTAACTGAACTGGACTTTTTCGCGGTATGAGGATCTGGTGCAAAACAATTCCATAAACGTAGAGTTTCATCAGCACCAGCACTAATAACCGTACTGCCATCGGGGGACAAGGCCATTTGCAATACTCTGGAGGTGTGACCAGTAAGTTCAGCTTGTTTTACCATCGAGGGATATTTCCATATTGTTAGTTGGTTATTGGCAAAACCATGAGCCGAAATAAGTTCTTTAAAGTTGCGTGACCACAATAAAGCACATACCTGTGACTTGGAATCCACCGAATTAATTAACGAACCATTATTAATATTCCAAAACTTTATGCATCTATCAGCCGTACCGCCTCCTGATGCTAGTACATTCGGCTGCCAGGGACACCAGGCCAAAGCACGTACTGCCGCTTGATGTTGGTTAAGAACATGTAAAGGCTCATTGCCAGTACCAACACCACTACCACTAGTAGCAGACCAAACATTTACCAAATTGTCATTGCCACCACTGGCCAAGTATTTAAAGTCGGTAGACCACTTAAGACCACACACCTCCTGGGTGTGACCCGCCAGATTACCAACTTTATGTTCACGGGCTCTGACATCATGATGTATAATGGTGCCATCACGACTGCCAGAAGAAACTAAAAATGAATTCCAAGCTAACGAACCCACACGTGCTGAATGTCCATCCATAACACGTAGACGTTTAATTTTAGAACAATCCCATAGTTCAACAGCGCCGGTATTATTACCAATGGCCAAAATTTGACCTTCCTGAATCCAGGCTAAAGCACAAGCATGATCACCTTCTTCATATTCTACTAACTGCTCAATATTACCAGTAACAGCATTCCAAAGATAGACAGCATTTCCCAATGCCACAGTTACTATATTGTCTGCGCTCCAATCCAAAAGATTTAAATCTGTAATGTATGTATATCAGGTAGAGTTAACTGAAATAATCTCAAATATTTGTAAAACAAAAAGTATTTTTGATCATTATGCAAATTTAAAAATATGGAAATATTTTAACAATTTGCTGACAAAAATAGTGATTTATTAAAAAATGGTTTGTATGGCAGCAAGGCTATTTATGGGCATACCCTTATACATTTTGGTAGAGGGATTTAGGTTTGCATTAAGTTATTTATACAGAATTTCATAGTGATAGCTTTAGTTGGATAGACAGACAGGCGAACTAATAAAATGATTCTAAGCGGATTGGGTATACATATGTGCAATGTTTTTGTATGTTACAAAACCAATAAAGTGGTGTTGGGTATAAAAATATGTTTTACTACTCACAATAATCATTAATAATATCCGGAGCATCTAAAATACGATCCGATGTAGTGGGTATATAACGTGAACCACTTTTAGTCGATATGGGTGTTTTGATGGAATAAACCACCTTAAGGGGATTCACGTGCGACTCCGGGGCCGCTGGTGCCTTATTTTGGTAAGATAATATACGTGTAGTCTTGCCGTCAGCTACTTGCATGGAATCCGATATTAATTTTTGTCTCTCAGCTTTGGCTGGGGTCATTTTATTGGCATTGTTGGAGTTACTTTCATTCTCTTCGTCATTTTCGGATTTATCCTGTTCTTGCTTTATCTGAAATTCCCTTAATAAATTCCCCAGAGCACTGACAAATTTGAAGCTTTATTACTTACCAGATAATGACCTAATTCGAAATTTGTAGTACCACGATTGGGTATAAAACGATCACCTCCGCCTGGTGTCTTAGAACCTTTGTTGGGTGTTGGCGTCTTTTTACTTTTACCATCGGCATTTTTGCCAGGAGTTTTTGTAGGAGGATTTACACCCGAAAAACTGGTATTATATGAAACTGATAGAACAGAACGTGTAGCATTTATGCTGCCATTTAAACTGGCAGTGGAGGCTTCCAACTTCTTTTGCCATCTTGGAGCCGGACCACGAGTTATCTCGCCATCCATGGTAAGCGCACTATTAATTTCATTGAAAAAATTAAACTGGGACATTTTGTCTTAACTAAAATTATAGTTTTTCCAATAATTAAATAATTTATTGTCAATTTAGTTTAAAATCTTTCACAGAGGTCAGAACTTTCTGGCTTGTTTTCTTCAATAATAATGGCGTTTTTTAATTTTTTGCGCTTTCAAAAAAGCAGTGTTGTAATTATTAATGGTGTTGCCAACTATTTTAAAGCAACATTACTGAGGAATTCGCCTTAATCACAGCTGTTAAACATATGCGAGCGAAGAAAAACTATTATTTAACTCGGCAAATGAAAACAAATTTCTTTTAACTTTGTAAAAAATTAGTTTTGTAAATTTTTTTAACTTAAAATGGGATTTTTTACCAAAGCAGAAGCAAAATCTCAGGAAGTGATACCAGGACTAGAACTAGATACCGCACCACCACCGCCACCAACCAAGAAACCAACAACTGAACCCGCGAACGAAAGTAAAAATTCTTCAGAAACAACCAACGAAAATAAAGCAAAAAAGGAATGGGGCTATGATTTGTATCCCGAACGCCGTGGTGAAGAATTCAAGCCAAAATGGTCTAGAATTCTATTGGGTTTCGAGGGTCATGAGAATATGGATAAAATCAAGTGTGAACGAAATGTTTACTGGTGTGTTAAGAATAGTCCTCTGGTTAAATTAATGATGGGCGCCTTAAAGAGTTCCGGTTGTCCGATAGACTTGAGAAGACATATTTCCTGTGAAGTTTGCGATTCATCGGTAACTGGTGGTTATGATCCCGTTCTCAATCAAATTGTTGTTTGTCAGAATATGGCCAAGAAGGAAGGCATGGTACAAGGCGTTCTAACACATGAAATGATACACATGTTCGACTATTGCAATAATGATTTAGATTTCCGTAATATAGACCATTTGGCCTGCACAGAAATTAGGGCAGCTAATTTAGCGCATTGTTCTTTCTTAAGTGCCATGATGCAAGGTGATGCATCTTTGTTTGACATCAAGGAAACACATCAGGTTAGTAATCGAATTAAATTTCGATATAGACACTATATAAAAACTTTTTATCAAAATCGTTCTATATATGAACATAGTTCCCAATATAAATCACAAGTCCATAATCGGCAATAGCTCCGAAATTTCGAAAATTAGTTTAATTGGTTAATGATATTTATTTTATTTCTATTTTTCAGAATTGTGTTAAATCTAAAGCTCTAGCTTCCGTTTTAGCTGTTCGCAATGTTACGAGAAAAGAAGCTATCGAAGCAGTTGAAAGAGTGTTTCCCAAGTGTTATAATGACTTGGAACCCATTGGTCGTCGTATTAGACGTAATTCACCGGACCAACATAGAGCATATATGGAGGCACCCATGTATGGTTACGATGTTTATTAAGTACTTGACTAAAAGTTATGGTTATTTGATAAATAAATTCTATTTGTTTAATTACAAAGATTTATTTTATTGATTTTATTTTTTTTCCATTTCGTATCAAAATTTGGTTTAAGAGATCTATGTTCAATATGGAAGAAGTTTCAAACAATTCAATATATGTACACATTACTATTCAATTTTATTTTCAAACTTAATTAACATATTTCATTCTTTCAAAGCTCTGCTTCCGTACTTGATAGGGTTCTAGAGTTAAAACAAATTTGCAATTTATGAAAGTCACGTCTCCGACTTTTTCAATTTATGAAGAGTCGAAAAATCACTCTACAATTTTCAACTTTTCGAACTTTGTTTATACCGACATTGTTCACTTTTTAATTTTTTGAATGTTTTAGAAATCTGAATCTGAACTACATAATATGTACATCATTTTAAAATATGACTTGGCAACTCTTTTTGGGAAGAAATGAACAAAGTCGAATTTAAATAGGGTTCTATCAAATGTACAGCTGATAGCAGTAAAATGTCATATCGCACATATAAAAAATATTAGCTCAAACGCTGAAATGTCATAATCTTTAAATGAAAAATTTAGTAATGTACTACTTTGTCACCTCGTTAAAATCGCCTTGAAAACCTAATCATAGCAATTAGAAACGCTGAGTTCAACAAAGTTTTTTAGTGAATTACGGGAATCACAAGAAATATTTCCAGTGATATGCTGCCCAAATCATCAGTATCTGCAATACAGGAATACTGTGCTAAACATAAACTACCACCACCCGTCTACGACTACATCGATTCCGAAGAGGGCGGGGCATTTATATGCCGTGCCAGAATAATGGATATAGATGCTGACGGCACTGGAAGATCAAAGCGTGATGCCAAACATTTGGCAGCCCATAATCTAATTAAAAAACTACGTACGAAATGTCCCGATATCGATGAAATACAACAGGTCGAGCACATGGAAATACCAGCTACGGATATGATTGTAACACTTCGAGACTATTGTGTACAGCATCAACATCCTTTGCCAGTATTCGAAATTATACAACAGGGCGGTACGCCGGATACTCCGGAATTCGTAGCTATTTGCAGTGTAGCATCAATAACACGCTATGGAGTTTCGGAGAAGAAAAAAGATGCTAAACAGATAGCTGCACATGCTATGTTGAATGTTATTGCAGATGTAAGTAAAGGAAATTTTTTTTTTGTCTACCCTTTTTTGAACGATTGGGGTTATTGGACATCTAACGAAATGTGTACGCAAATTTTTTTATAATTAAAAAAAGATAAATTATAGAAATAAAATATAACAATATCGAAGACTGACTATATTTAATAAATAAATGCATTTTGCGACTAATTTTGCTAATATGGTCGAGGATAAAGACTAATCTATTGTCAGAGCTATATGCTAATCTTAACTCGAGACTATAAACTAATCTACAGTCAAGACTATAAACTAATTTACAGTCAAGACTATAAAATAATCTAGTCAAGAATATAGACTATATTCAAGGCTTTAAAATAATCTAAAGTCAAGACTAGAGATTAAGGTATTTTAAGACTACAATAAAGAGTATTAATACTTGTCAAAGATATTTGTATCATTCTCTACTATAGACTAATCTGTAGTCGGGACTATAGGCTAATCTATAGTAGGGAATACAGACTAATCCGCAATCGAGGCAATAGAATAATTCAACGCAGATCGAACGATTATGTCGATCAGTGGCTAATATATTCTATATCATATATACTTATTAATTCTTTCATTTCATTAAAGAACACACAACCATTGGATCATCAAATGCAAGTAGCATCATTGGAGTCTACAATTGACGATGTAGAATACGAACGTTATCAAAAGTTTAAAACGTATCGTGAACTTTCCGAAACTAATATTGGAGAAATAGCACCGGGTATTTTATTGTCCGATCGTCATGATTATTTCGTAAAGTTTCACAAACATTTGAAAAAAGCAGCATGGGAAATAATTCATAGTGACAATTATGAAGGCAATAATCAAGCACAAGTTATGGATCTATTTCAAGCTTTAAAGATAAAACCTCGTATTACATCAAATCCCGCTGTTAAGACCTCAGAAAAAATGGTACAGATTGAAGTGGACTGTGATTTTGATGCATTTTTTGTAGATGTTGAGAGTAAGATTTATACTAGTGTTATTAATTATTTTCGTGATATGTTGATTTAAGTGAAATTTTCGTTACGTATTTTGTATGTTTGTAATATTATACGTTAGATTATACAAAAAAAGTGATGAAATGATGAATAAAATGCCAACAAAGCTTGGAAAGGTGAAATATTTTTTAATGAGAATTCTTATGTCCGGATTTTTAATAAAATTTTTAAATGGTATTTACGATTATATGTATATTATTTTTTATTTGCATAATAATTTATACAAGCATATAAATGTTTAATTGCTTAATACAACAATACATAGTTTCATTATATTTATTATTATTTATTTATGCTTTTAGTAACAATTGCTTTGGGCTTTTACGCTTTTCCTTTTATTAAAATAAAAAAAAAAAATATCACTAATTATTTTACCCTCATCGTTCAGTTGAAAGAATTTAAAGTTTTTATAGAGAATTGGCAACTTCTGTTGAATAAATACCAGATTAGGTCTTCACATTACATACTTTTAACTAGAAAAGTTCTTGAAATACAATTACTTATTTACATACAAATACTTAAAAATAATAGGTTTTAAATTTTGTTAAGATCATAATAATTTCATTATTATTCACACCAACTTATTGTTGTTCAACAACGGTCACCTCTATGGGTGGTATAAATTTCCATACGTGTTCTTGCTGTTCATGGTAACTTTGAGCACCAACAGTTATGTCGTTTAGAGTAATATGTAGGCTATTCTCAGCTGGTTGTGGCACAGGGCACGAGCGGGAAAGCATAGTATTGTTTGAAGCCGCTGTACCTAAATTTTGTGGTTTAGCATGACATTGTATGCTAGTCTTAAAACGTCCTGGTGTAAAAAATAACACAGTACATTCATGATTGGCCTTTTCATCTTTTCGTAAAATTGGTATACGAATTCTGCAGCGGAGGAATGAATGTTCGTATTAAAAATCTCTAAAAATATTATGATATAATATTGTCAGCTTACCTATTGGGGCCTGAAATAGCAACTCTGGTTTCTAAATTATAATTTTCTGTACCATTTAAATAGTCCTGATAAAATTTTATAGTGAGTATTAAGTTTTTCAAAGGCTGCACAGATTGATTACAAACTGTAATGCTTATTATGGAACTTTGTCCGGCTGTGCAAATTACTTCTGATTGTGGTTGTACCGGTTGATTTTTAAATGAAATATCTGAAAATAAGAATAAATGGTAGTCAAATATATCCTTTTTATTTATTTTTAAAAATTACTTACTCCATTGTAGGGGCGATACCGTACACAAGTCTATCATGGTAGGTGTCAGAATGATGCCTTTTAAAGAAGCTATGCCCTGTATGTCGGTACCCGTCAATGACCAGTTGATGTTAACTCTTTCAGCTATATGTTTTGAACACAAACGACTTACTGAATCGTTAAACGATCCCATGTCCGTACGAAAACAGAGTTCTGTAATAAATTGTTACAGAAATTAATTAAGGTATCAAAAGAAAAGTGATTTGATAGAAAATTAAAATGGTTTCAAAGCATTAAAACAAAAAAATCGTGTGACATTAATCAGTTCATACCTTTTTCCATATTTTCGGCCATTTCTGCTTCTCTAGCAGCCCAGACTTGTTCAACTGAACAACGATCTACCGGTATCGGAACTCGACAACTATCTTTAGCCTCCATTGAAATATTTTTATTATTCGTATAATTGAGCGTCATCTCTTGAGCAGTTAAATTTGTAATATCCAAAACCAAATAAAATTGTGAGGGTCTACAAAGAAGAAAATGATAGTTAATAATTAGTCGAGACTATAAGCCGATCTATTATCGGTCTCTATAATGTATACAATATATAGTCTTATCTATAGCCGAGAATATAAACTATTCTAAACGGTTCCATAGGCTAACCTGCCGACAAAACTATAGAATAAATCTATAGACAGAACTATAGACTACTATATAGTCGATAATTTAGAAAAAATTCTTTCCACATTCACATATTGACTTACACTTCGGCCGGCAGTACATCCCAACTTGTTATTTGAGCACTCTGGATGAGTTCAAGTTTAAAATATACCGAACACTGACGACAATAACCTTCTTGCATGGCTTCGCCACCTGAATATTTTATACGAAATTGAGCTTCTATATGTTGAGCCTGATTGCTTATTGAATTTGCGTCTACTGTTGTTAAACTAAGAGCTCCCAACGAATGTTGAGCCGTTGAGGTGGATGTGGTAGAACGAAAACTGCTATAAGCGGTATCATTACGTCGCGTAGATGAATGTTGGCTAGGGGAACCAACACGTGAGGGTAAACTGGCATGACTGGATGCTGATAAAGTTGAGGAATATTGCAAGGTATGAGAATGATCGTAGGGATGTATACTTGTGGAATGTACAGACGGCACCGTATGTTGATTAACTGTAGGACATATGAAATCAGCTTCGGCAAAAATGTCCACCATAAAATCTTTACTACATTTGGGAGCTATAGGTAATATAGACTTTTTGGGAATATAAACAGAAAATATGTAGTATTTCATGACTTATTTAATATGTAAAATAAGTTGTAAATACCTGCAAATTCTCATTTATTTTAAATATTTTCTTCTGTGTGTCCTGTTCAATATTTGATGTTATATTTACTTCTAAATGTTCCACCGGTATTTCACTATCATTTGTTATTGTTATAACGCACGTAGACGATTCACCATTGTATAATGTCAGACTGGCTGTTGTTATCACACTCTCCGCACCTGACATATTACTGAAGGTAGCGGTTTGGGGTAAAGATGTTTTAACGGTAACTGTTGGCAGTGCAGGTATTACATCGACCAAAAAATTCTGCGGAAATTTTCTATCCTTCATATGTTTCATGCGACAATTTGATTTTACACCTAATGTATGAGTACTATAACCTTGTATTTCTAATTGTCCCACCTCCATGGGCGTTCCATGTAAGGTGACATATGTTGGCACTTGTGGTTGTAATACTATAGTTTGTGGTAGAGATTTGAAAACAATACCATTGGTTAGCAAACGCATATCGCAAACGGTCAGTTCGAAAGGTAATGGATTTCGCAGTCGTACCGTTACTTCACTAATATTGTTTTGTACCCAGAAAAATGCTGTTAAAATATAAGGATAAAATAGAGGAAGATCTTAAAAATTGTTATAGAAATTGTCGGAAAGAAAAATAAATGATCTTACGTATTTTATGCTTATCCTTATTTTTATCTCTTCTATCAATAGAATTAAATTGCAATGGTGTAAACAAAAAAGGACCACTGTCAGCTTTGGCAATTTTAATGCGCTGAGGTTTTAAATGAGCTGGTAAATCTTTGACTACAATATCCAAACAGAACGGCAGATCAGTTAGATTGGCAGGTGGTATAATAGTACCATTTTCTAAAACCAAAGGAACTGGAGAACCCTCACACTGAGCACTTAAGTTCTGAAGAAGTAAAAAAACAATATTTGTAAAGTTGATATCAAACAGTTAAGTTATAGGTTTTACCTGCAATTGTACTGCCATTTCACTTTGTTCCGTGGGTGTCATATTATGCCATTGTGTTTGTAATAAAAATGTCATGTGTCTAGTGGCTAAAGTCGAGTGGCCCAAACGTTTAGCTGCTGTTATGAGGGACTGTAGTAAATCAATCTGTAAACAAGGCCAACCCGATTTGGTTTCCAGCACCTCCAAAGGATCTAGTGATAACATATAGCCCGGAAAACTGGACAACATAAGACGATAGGTTTGTGACCAATCGGGATTCGAAGAGTTTTGATGAACATGTTTCAAAGCAGCTAGACGCTGAAAGAAGGCCGCCTTGCGTCTATAGCCAATTTGCTGGTAGAGTGAAGTCATCACTTCAAAACTTTTTATACGATCTGCTTCGGTCATTGAGTGATTAATATATAAAATATTTTGCAAACACATGGCCACATCCAGGGGACGATTTTGTTCTATAAATATGCGGGCTGCTTTAAAAGCAGCCTCAATCTCTACTATAGCAGCATTGCGATATTTGCTATAATTTATGATGGCATTTTTAAAATAGAATAAAATCTCATCGGGCTTCAAGATGTTGCCAGGCAAATCTGAATGTTGGCCGGAACGGTGATTGGCTGCTGCCGATATGGTCGAGGTGGAAGATGATGAAGATGTTGAGTTGGTAGAAGCTTGAGATAAGGTTGATGTGGTAAGTATAGATGAAACGGATGAATTAGAAGCCGAATGTGGTGGTAGATGAGTAGGTGAGCTGGCCGCATTTTCTGAATTTTCTGCTACAGTTTTTTCGCTGGCATTATAACGTTTAGTTATTTCACTTTGTCGCCATTTTTCGGGAGTACCTTTGAGAGGAGAACCCTCTTGCAGGGAAGCATTGCGATGTAAGGTTTCATCAGCTCTAAGTTGGGGATAGAGTAAGCATACTGAGGCCGAACAGAGACCCTCTTCAGCAGCACCTTCCCACAAGAGATCATTAATTGACCTTAAAGTGTCACAGGCACTGTGGTATAAACTTAAGGCGTCCTCCAGCAGACCAGCCTGTAAAGAAAGATCTGCCAAATTCTTTGTTACTCTACCCACCACACGTTTACGATTATTCCTCGAATCCATATCTAAACCCACAAAATCACGTTTTTCAAAGGGTGCGGTTAAGAGTGAACATTTTTCTACTTTTTCCCGAGAACGCTCCAAACGTCTCGATTCCAGAACCCATAATAAAGCATTTACAAAATCAGCCATGTGAGCTTCTAAATCTGTACACATTTCATTTTCCCTATAGAAGAAAGCTTGAGCCTTAAAGTTGGACGGTGTGGTAAATTCATCCTGTAAACGTTTCGGTTTATTTGTGGGTAATTCCTTAGAATCAACCACTTCACCATCATGATTTGCAATTGACACTTCAGCCGCTTTGTCATCTTCCAATGGGGCTGGACCAAAAAATATAGCTCGCGAATCGTATAAAGTACTTCCGTAACGCACCTTAAGCGATTCGTGTTGACGACACAATTCATTTAATTCTGGCTGACTGTCAAATTTGCCAATGGTAATGAGACCCAACAAACGCCGATGAGTTTGGAAATCTCCCCAATCATTATTCTCTACCGGATGATCATGAATATAACGTATCCAAATGTCTCGGGTGATGCCACTAGAATCTAAATAACAATGAAATTACACATAGAAAAACTCATTCATTATCTTATTTGCAGTATCCACATACCAATTATTTTCACATTGTTTACACGTCTGACCTTGTCGAAAGCTTTTTGTAATGTTCTGGGTTTGGATGGTCCAACACCTCGTAATAGCACTAACAAATAACTGTGATGCAAAATGGTTTGTTCGTAATCAGGACGAGACATGTTTTGTTGCCAAATCTCTCACTTTTCACTGTTTCCAAAATTATGAATTTATTAAAGTAAACACTGAGGATAATATTTAAAACTTTTATTGTTGTATATCAGCATCCCTGCCAGAACAACATACAAGTTTTTTAAGCTCAATTCTTTTGTTGAAGGCGTATTTCGTTTATTTTTTCTGTGTAGTACGTGGTAAAGATTTTTTTGTCTTTCAACTGGCACAAAAATAATTTATTTATTGCAATTCATCACTACTTTTGTATGTTTACAATACAAAAACCACTTAACTTTATAATGTTTTGAATTAATTTGTATTGTATTTATTGTTTGTTCTCCTTTAATTAATTCAATACAAGAAAAGTTAAAATTTTCTTAAAAATTCCTATCATTTTTTCTATTCCTTGTTTTTTTTTTTGAGTTGTCAATAAGATGTCAAATTTTTTTACAATTAAGCTGACCAGCTTTTTTCAAGAATTACAGAGCTGCTTTTACTTCAAACAAAAAAGTGTTTGTTTGTAGCAAACACGAGATACGAAAAATAAATTGCTGTTTGACAAACCCAGTGTACACTTAATAAGGTAGCCTCGTCCACACAGCTGGTCATCAGCTGTTACAATCTTATCTGTCAAAATTCCTGTTTATTTACATTAAGAAAAAATCGCAAAAGTTGTAAAAATTTTTCAAAAGTGAAGAAAATTATGTTTTTAAATAAGTTTTCTGGGTCAATTGCGATTAAATGTCTTTGTTGTCCTCCTCCCTTGATAAAATAAGAAAATCTTTTGCTCCGGCATACGTTCCAAATCAGATTAAAAAATTTTTAGCACAACCAATTACTTTTCACAAAAAGCACGTTCTATTCGCAAAATTTGTCCTCCCAATAGTTATAGTTATGATTTTCAGGCATTCCACGTTTAATTAATTTAATATATTAATATTAATAGTTAAAATTTAAAATATTTGCTAAAAACTCGTATTTTTATTATGTTTATTTGTTGCTTTTTCATTCTCCGCATGCAGTTTATTTTGACAGATTGGATTATTTCACAATAACAAATCGCCTGTTGTTTTTGTATTGTTGTATTTGTTGTAGCGACGAGGCTACCTTATTAAGTGTACACTGGACAAACCAGAATTTCCTAGGTCGTCAAACATATGTATGTTTTTTAAATGGAACATCAAACAAAATCAGTTTGAAGGAAAAATTAAATGATTTTTTGCGCGAGCAGCATGTTTTCGCGCCATTTTCACTAATTCTTCTTTATTTAATGTTCTGTCATCTTTTACATACATTTTGGGTTTGTAACAAACGTAGAACGTAGATATTCTATTTTTGTCTATTTACTGCCGGTTTCTCTAAATGCGAAATATAATTGAAAACAATAAATAAATTTAATTTTTTTTTTGTTTTCAATATATTTATAAGAATGAAAATGTTGTTTCAATATTGTGAAACAGACAGTTATTTATAAATGGTATAACATAAATGTTATTATATCTACAAGTATTCGTGCTCAGATCGCCCAACGTCTACAGTAGAAAGAGAAGAAAACCTGGAGCCTGGAGTCTAGTACAGTCTATAGTCTAGCAGAAAATTAGTTAAGTACTTTAAAACCTAAAAAGTCCTATTCTTGCTAAAAGTTAGTACTATTTCAAAATTTAAATTTTCCATGCCTGGTCGATATTAAAAAGCCGCAGAATTTCTTAGATTTGGCCGCCGGTATAGCACAGTTTAATCGGCGCATGGCACTTTTTGGAGCCACTTTGTTTTGTGGGGCGCGTGTAGTTTGTTTTCTTTCCACTTTTATTGTTATTTTTATAAAAATTCATTAATAAATAAAAAAAATATTAAAAAATTAACATGAATCTATTGCCAAAATCCCATGAAGAATTCGCACAAACCGACTATTGGAATGCCTTCTTTAAGAAGCGAGGAGAAAAGGCTTTTGAATGGTGGGTATCAGGAAGACGCAAGAAATTTATAAAAATTATTTAATTTTTTAAAATTTTTTATAAGGTATGGTGAATATTTGGAATTATGTGAACAAATACACAAATATGTGAAGACCAATGATAAAATCCTTATGTTAGGTTGTGGTAATTCCAAACTCAGTATGGATATGTACGATTCAGGATTTAAGTAAGTAAAAGAGAAAAGTGCTGGTCATGGTCATAAGAGGATATGCATACCTATTTCTGTAAAATTTCTTTTATAGAGGTATTGTCAATATTGATATCTCCGCTGTGGCTATTAAGAAAATGCAGGAAATCAATAGCCGCTCTAGATCGGATATGAAATTCTTGCAAATGGATGCTACAGAGATGTCATTTGAGAATGAACAATTTTCGGTGGCTTTGGATAAGGGTACTCTAGATGCCTTGTTTGTTGATGATACCCCGGAAGTAAGGGATACGGTGGAAAAGTATTTTAAAGAAATAAGTCGAGTTTTACGTACTGGTGGTCGTTATATTTGTATTTCTTTGCTACAAGAACATATTTTAAAATATGTTATTGAATATTTCCCTAAGAACTCTTTTATGTTGCGTATAGTTCAGTGTTTGGATGCACAGAAAGCTAATCAAGAGAAAAATGCCGATAATCCAGATGCTGTTTCAATGCCTGTTTTCGCATTGGTGGCTACTAAGTTTAAAGCGTTACCCATGCCGGTAAGTTCTCCCTTATTTAAGAACAAATACAATTTGAATATATATAAATTAAATTTGTTTATTTAGATTTTAGAATTCAGTTTTAGCAGCGACAAAATTCAACGTTTAAATTCAACACAAGAACTGGAAAATGCTGTAGCATCAATACAAAGAGCCGCCCTAGTTTGCAATGGTTTGGCGCGCAGCAATATAGCTGGTCACAACGAAGTTACAATGGAATTGTGTAAACCCGGCGAAACAAGTCCACGTTATACTATACACATATTGGATCAGCCACCCGCCAGAGGTTTTGGCAAATATGCTGCCTTTATAGTGCCACAAGGAAGGTATGTAGTCAACACTAACTTACAGTTATTCTCCACAATATACAGATGACTTGTATTGCAGAGAAATTGAATGGTTATTTTCTACCACTGAAGGTCGTAAAAAGCTGCAGTGTTCAGCGAAATTTCAACGTATGGCTGTTGTAACATTACACCGTGACCAAGTGTATGAATCTTTGGATGCAGTCAAAGCGGAATTGTCGGAAAATGTTAAAAGTTTAGCTCCCTTAGGCTTGAAAGAGCAGGTTTGTGAGATAAAATTGCAAAAAATAGTAAATCATTATAAATTTATTTCTTTAAATTTTGATATCTAGATACCTTTCTTATCACTCGGCTCAGATGTGGGTAAGCGTGAGACCTTAGTTTGTGGCTTTTCCAAAATATCTGGTGATTTTAGAGTAGAAGAAGTTGAAGATGCTGATGGCAGAATTTTGCGTCGTTTAGTATTTTTAAACAATCAATTTGTGGTACAATCTGAAGCTTTAGTTAAAACGAGTAGGTGTCAACGAAGTTTTTTACATAAACTATTAAATTTTTATCTGTTTCTTGTTAAAATTTTTTGCAGTAAAGCCTAAAGATCAAAAACTTGAGCGTAAAATAATTGATATTGGTTATTTGGCTTGCCAACATCATTTGTATATGTCGGTGGGTGTGCAATTGGCTACCGCAGGCCCTATACAAAATAACGAACTTAAAAATGTGTTAGTTGTGGGTTTAGGTGGTGGTGGTTTATGCAGCTTTTTACATGCAGCATTACCGTAAGTAGAACGTTTGTTTTCTTTTTTCAACAAACAATTGTTTTATTACATTAAAAGTTTTATTACAAAATAGTAATTTATGTGTTACGGCTGTGGAAATAGATCCCATGATGCTAGAAGTTGCCGAACAACATTTTGATCTTAAACAAGACAAACGTCTAAATGTGGTTATTGATGATGGTTTGGCGTTTCTGCAAAATTGCAAAAATGAAGGTGTGTTTGAACATAATATACATTAACTTTCAACACCAACTAAATAAACCGTTTATTTGTCGATTTCTATTTAGGCATTAACTACGATGCTGTGTTATTCGATGTCGACAGTAAGGACTTAACATTAGGCATGAGCTGTCCACCACCCACTTTCTTAGCCGATACAGTGTTATCGAATATTACTAGCATTATAGGTGATAAGGGATTATTTATTTTGAATTTAGTTTGTCGTGATGAAACATTACGTGCAAATGCTTTAGAATCAATGAAGAAAGTTTTTCCCTTTATTTGTACGTATAAACTTGATGAGGACATCAATGAAGTTGTTTATTGTACAAATAATTCAAAATTTGCAAATCTTAAAAATTGGAAAAAATTATTGGGTTCAGCGGGTAGAAATTTAAATGCTGCTGTGAAAAGTAAAAAGTTAAATGCTGACGATATGCTGGATGTGACGGAGTTTATGAAAGATTTGAAATTGTAAAATGTATAATTGTTATTTTCATTTTTATAAAGTGTTGAGGAAATTATGAGAAATAAATAGATTTTTTATTATTTTAATTTTTTTTTAATTTCTAGTATTTTATTAATAATGTAATAAAACAAAGTTTGAGTTATAACAGTATATAGTCTAGTCTTTAGCCTAGTCTGTAGTCTAGTCTATAGTCTAGTCTACAGTTTAGTCTATAGTCTAGTCAATAGTCTAGTCTTTAATCAAGTCTATAATCAGACTATAGTCTAGTGAATGTTCTAGTCTAGCCTGTAATCAAGTCTAGCCTATAGCCTAGTCTATAGTTTAGTCTATAGTCTGGTCTATAGTCTACTCTATAGTCTAGTTTATAGTCTAGTCCATAGTCTAGTCTATAGTCTAGTCAATAGTCTAGTCTATAATCAAGTCTATACTCAAGTCTACAATCTAGACTATAGTCTAGTGTATGTTCTAGTCTAGCCTGTATCTAGTCTATAGTCTAGTCTGTGGTCTAGTCAATAGACTAGTCCATACTCTAGTCTATAATTTAATCTATTTTCTAGACTAGTCTATATTCTAATCTATAGTCTATTCTGTAGTCTATGTTATAGACTAGTCTATAGCCTAGTATTATAGTCTAGTCTGTAGTCTAGTCTATAGTTTAGTCCATAGTTTATAGTCTTGTCTATAGTTTAGTCTATAGTCTAGTCTATAGTCTAGTCTATAGTCTAGTCTATAGTCTAGTATATAGTCTATAGTCTAGTCTATAGTCTAGTTTAAAGTCTAGTCTATAGTCTAATCTATAGTCTAGTCTATATACTATTCTATAGCCTAGTCTATAGTCTAGTCTATACTCTAGTCTATAGTTTAGTCTATAGTCTACTTTATAGTATAGTCTATACTCTAGTTTATAGTCTAGTTTATAGTCTAGTCTATAGTCTAGTCTATAGTCTAGCTAGTCTATAGTCTAGTCTAAAGTCTAGTCTATAGTCTAGTCTATAGTCTAATCTATAGTCTAGTCTATATACTATTCTATTCTAGTCTATACTCTAGTCTATAGTCTACTTTATAGTATAGTCTATACTCTAGTTTATAGTCTAGTCTATAGTCTAGTCTATAGCCTAGTCTAAAGTTTAGTGGGTAGTCCAGTCTATAGTCTAGTCTATAGCCTAGTCTATAGTCTAGTCTATACTCTAGTCTATAGTCTACTTTATAGTATAGTCTATACTCTAGTTTATAGTCTAGTTTATAGTCTAGTCTATAGTCTAGTCTATAGACTAGTCTATATTCCAATCTATAGTCTAGTCTATCTATATTATTAAGTCTATAGTCTAGTCTAAAGTTTAGTCGGTAGTCTAGTCTATAGTCTAGTCTATAGCCTAGTCTATAGTCTAGTCTATAGTCTAGTCTATACTCTAGTCTATACTCTAGTCTATAGTTTAGTCTATAGTCTAGTCTATACTCTAGTCTATAGTTTAGTCTATTGTCTACTTTATAGTATAGTCTATACTCTAGTTTATAGTCTAGTCTATAGTCTACTTTATAGTATAGTCCATACTCTAGTTTATAGTCTAGTCTATAGCCCAGTCTATAGTTTAGTCGGTAGTCCAGTCTATAGTCTAGTCTATAGCCTAGTCTATAGTCTAGTCTATAGTCTAGTCTATAGTTTAGTCTATAGTCTACTTTATAGTATAGTCTATACTCTAGTATATAGTCTAGTCTATAGTCTAGTCTATAGTCTAATCTATAGTCTAGTCTATATACTATTCTCTAGTCTATAGTCTACTTTATAGTATAGTCTATACTCTAGTTTATAGTCTAGTCTATAGTCTAGTCTATAGCCTAGTCTAAAGTTTAGTGGGTAGTCCAGTCTATAGTCTAGTCTATACTCTAGTCTATAGTCTACTTTATAGTATAGTCTATACTCTAGTTTATAGTCTAGTTTATAGTCTAGTCTATAGTCTAGTCTATAGTCTAGTCTATAGTGTAGTCTATAGTCTAGTCTATAGTCTAGTCTAAAGTCTAGTCTATAGTCTAGTCTATAGTCTAATCTATAGTCTAGTCTATATACTATTCTATATTCTAGTCTATAGTCTAGTCTATAGTCGAGTCCATAGTCTAGCCTATAGTCTAGCATATAGTCTAGTCTGTAGTCTAAACCTGAAAAGTAAAATTGAATTTTCCGTGACTGACAACAACATATGTACTTACCACAGTTTTCTGAGCACAACAAAGAAAAAAGTTCGCTTCTAGTTTTGTTTTTATTCAAATATATTTAAAATTCTAAATAATTTCAAATAAATCATGATTCAAACTAAAAAATTTAATAGGGAATTGATACTCTTCCAAAACAATTTTAAATTAAAAATACACTTCAAATTTATTTTAAATTATCTAAAAATTTTATTATAAAATTTTTTTTGTTTACAAAGCATTAAAATAAAATTAAAAACTCAATTAAACAAAAATTACTAATAAATAACTTAGAGAATATAATAACAAATACGAAAAAATAAGAAAATTATGGAAAAAATTAAAAATAAAATAATGAAATTAAAATAACTTAAATAATTCTAAATGTAATTTATTTATATATGCAAAATCTGAAAATGAATTTAAAGGGGAGAATGTTTATACTATAGAGAAAATGATGAAAAACAATACAATTTTTTTTCTTTAAGGAACTTAAAGCAATCCGTAATTTTTAATTATAATTTCTATACATAATGTTGCTGTTTAATAAGTTAATATTTAAATAAACAATAACTTTCATTACATTAATTCGTTTAAATTAATTTTAATGGAATAATGTTGTTTTTTAATAAAAATATAATTCATTTCCTTTGTTTGATTTTTCTTTTTCGGGAAAAATGTCAAGTTTTTTTTTTTTAATTTTCGTAAAAACACAAAATTTTTAACAATTATTTAAAGCCTTTTTACTATTTATGGGAAAAAATGCAGTCAAAATTTGTTTTATTACTTTATTTATATATATATTTTTTCTAGGCATAACCAAGTTTTTATCTTATTAAATTACATTTTGTTTTTGGTAAATTTCATTTTACTTTTCTTTTTATCTTTTGTTTGTTGTATTTTAAAAGTTTTACGTTTTACTTAAGTCACCAACTAGAAATAAAATAAAAAATAAATCAAGAAAATTTATTAAAAATATTTTTTTCTCTGAAAAATTAACCAAAACTTGTGTTATTAGCGTCGTGTAGTGTTAAGAAAGATGTTAGAACAAATATTAATAAACAAACTAAAATTAATTGCAAGTTTAAAGTGATTTTTGTAAATTGAATTATATGAATTTTTTAAAAAGTTTCTTTATATTTATATTTTCTTAGCGTTTGTTTTAAATGTTTAGCTGAAATGGAAATAAACAAATTTTTTGTCATTAATAATGTTTTGTTAGAGAAATGAGTAATTTTAAGTTACTTCTGAAAACGTCTTGAAGAGTAACCAATAAATACTTAAATTTTGTGGATGAAGTTAAACAGTGATCCTTAAAGCAAACATTAAATGATGTAAAAGATTTTTCTGGACATCGTTTACGTTGTACCCTATATCGGTTAAAATGTATAACAAACTCCGAACGGATGAACTCTACTTCGACAGATAATGTTTCTTCATTTTTGTTTATTATAGTCTATAGTCTAGTCTATAATCTAGTTTATAGTCTAGTCTATAGCATAGTCTGTAGTCTAGTCTATAGTCTAGTCTATAGTCTAGTCTATAGTCTAGTCTATAGTCTAGTCTATAGTCTAGTCTATAGTCTAGTCTATAGCCTAGTCTATAGTCTAGTCTATAGTCTAGTCTATAGTCTAGTCTATAGTCTAGTCTATAGTCTAGTCTATAGTCTAGTCTATAGTCTAGTCTATAGTCTAGTCTATAGTCTAGTCTATAGTCTAGTCTATAGTCTAGTCTATAGTCTAGTCTATAGTCTAGTCTATAGTCTAGTCTATAGTCTAGTCTATAGTCTAGTCTATAGTCTAGTCTATAGTCTAGTCTATAGTCTAGTCTATAGTCTAGTCTATAGTCTAGTCTATAGTCTAGTCTATAGTCTAGTCTATAGTCTAGTCTATAGTGTAGTCTATAGTCTAGGCTAGTCTATAGACTAGTCTATAGTCTAGTCTATAGTCTAATCTATAGTCTTGTCTATAGTCTAGTCTATAGTCTAGTCTATAGTCTAGTCTATAGTCTAGTCTATAGTCTAGTCTATATTCTAGTCTATAGTCTAATCTATAGTCTAGTCTATAGTCTAGTCTATAGTCTAGTCTATAGTCTATGGTCTAGTCTATAGTCTAGTCTATAGTCTAGTCTATAGTCTAGTCTATAGTCTAGTCTATAGTCTAGTCTATAGTCTAGTCTATAGTCTAGTCTATAGTCTAGTCTATAGTCTAGTCTATAGTCTAGTCTATAGTCTAGTCTATAGTCTAGTCTATAGTCTAGTCTATAGTCTAGTCTATAGTCTAGTCTATAGTCTAGTCTATAGTCTAGTCTATAGACTAGTCTATAGTCTAGTCTATAGACTAGTCTATAGTCTAGTCTATAGTCTATTCTATAGTCTAGTCTATAGTCTATTCTATAGTCTAGTCTATAGTCTAGTCTATAGTCTAGTCTATAGTCTAGTCTATAGTCTAGTCTATAGTCTAGTCTAGAGTCTAGTCTATAGTCTAGTCTATAGTCAAGTCTATAATCTAGTCTAGTCTGTAGTCTAGTTTATAATCTAGCCTATAGTCTAGTTTATAGTCTAGTTTATAATCTAGTCTATAGTCTAGCGGAAGATTAATTAAGTACTTTGAAACCTAAAAAAGTACTATTTTTGTTATAAGTTCTTCCAGTGGACTACACAACTTAAAGACTAATAAATAGAATCAGAAAACCTCAACAAAATCCTGGAAAATTAAACAGATTGAAAATCGTTTATTGAAAAAAACATGTTTGCATTCAAAAAGGACATTTTCCATCTACTTCAATATGATTTGCAATTATATTGAATAAATAAACATTTATTTTATTCGAAACAACGGAAAAATCTACAATAAAAACTATTAACTAATAAATGGCGAAAAAATTTTAACTAAACTTATAAGTTAATTTAAAATAGCTTTTGACGAAATGTTTCAAAAAGGAATGTAAACATTCATTCATTTTTACAACAAGATGTTAAACACAAATTTTATAAAATGTAAAGAATGATTAAATTAAATTTCAATAATAATAATAAGTTTAACATGTATTTAACTATACACTGGGTTATATTTTTGAAGTATATATTAACAATTGCTAACAGCCTTAAATGTGTAAACTGTTAATTAATTCAATAAAATTGTATATAATGTATGTGTTATGTTTATTAGGGTGGCCCTTAAATGGAGATTGCTGATATTCCCGCCAAAAAATGAAAATTTAGTTCTTTCTAAGATACCATTTCTTAAAGGCCTTTCACATGATAACAAAATATATCTTTCATTTGCGTCAAACATGAACAAAATTGGCATAACCTTAAAAAGGACCTTTTTATCATTTGATTCAGCTCACCAAATATTGACGCCAAAACAAAAATTTTGAAATTGAATCAAGTTTTCATTTTCGGTAGGAACATCAGTACTTTATTTCTTCCCCATACAAAAGGGGCCACCATAAAGTATATATGAAAACGTTTGCAAAAAGCTGTTTTAAAATATATGTATGTATATAGAGATTCAAATCTAAACGAAAAATCTGTTAATATTCATAATAATATCAAATATATTTACAAAATATGCATGTCTTTCTTTCATACGTTCTCGGTTTTAATGCTTTAAAAATGGCTGCCCCGCCCACCTCACGCACTTAAAATACTTTACGGAAAATTTTGTTAAAACTACGATTTTTCTTTTTCGATTGCGTCGATGAATTTGAACTTGAACTACGATTACTATTGCTACTACTGCTAATGCCACCCGACGATGATTTCTTACAATTCGACGATGAAGCTGACGTTGTTGCTGTCGTAATGGCACTTTCACCTGATGATAAAATGGCTTCTTCTAATATGCGAAATGAGTTTTCGGTAGAATTAGTGGGAAAATTGATTTCAGACAAAGAAGATGAATCCAAGCTGGCATTAGGTGAGACACGTAAAAATGCATTATTAGTGCTATTAGAAATGGAAGTGGACATTTGGCCGTGACCACCACCACCACCGGATGAGACAGATGAAGCTGATTTTTTTAAACGATACCATTCCCATGATGTCGACTCATGGGCTGGATTTGATTTATTGCTGTTGGAAATTTTACCTTTAAGACTTTTTGTAAATGGTGATTTAAAGAAAACTGGCGAAGATAAACGGCGTGATTTTTTCAAATTACTATCCGCCAACGTTTGTTTATTGTTGGAGGATGATTTCGATTTTGAGGCAGGATTATTGGCATTTGAATTTGGATTGACGCATTGATAGCCGCGCGGGCCATCGGGCATAAACTCGTTATAGGCTAAATCAGCATTGGGTATGAAATTATCTAAATCGTCTTCGTCTAGCATAAGGCGTTCATCGAATTCGGCGCCTTTTAGTTCTGCGGGAGCTGAACTATTAAGTTGTGAAGCTGTGTCGGCAGGCGAAGATTGTTGGCGTTTAAAACTTTGCGTTTCCTTTTTCTTTTTTGATTTTCCATTTAAGCCGGATGGCTTTTTAATTCTACTTGAAGAAATCTCTGCAGAATCTGGCCAATAAAAAATTAAATATTTTTAAGTTTTAGGGAAAAAAGGAATATGATTAATATACACTACTTACCTCCTATGCGATCTTCAGCATTTAGTTCCTCTAAGTGCTGCCAGGCTTGCAACTGAGCCTGAGCTGTATTGGGCCAAGAGTGTTTTTCTCCCTTACGCTTAGCTTGGGATTTTTGCGGGTGTATAGGTGGCAGACCGGCTCCCTGATTAATATTATTATTACTACCATAACAAACGGATATTTTACGTTGTCTTGTCGTAGTACTCGGATTATTGTAACTAGAGGCCTCTTCCTCCTGTTGCTCAGTCTTACTTTGGTGGAGGCTCGTTCTAGCGCCATCACCTTTACATTCTTTTAAAATTAACATGACCTCTTCACTAGGCCTTCGATATTTATCCGCATAACTACCACTGACATTAGAGGCGCCCTCCTGGTCACGCCGTTTAACCGATTGCTGATGATCCGAAAAATCCTCAAAGGATTTGCGACGATTAATTTTCTTTTGTGTGCTTGTCTGCGCCACATTTGTGTCATTTTTCCGCTTACCACTTTTGTCGTAGATCGACAATACCTCCTTGGTATCTCTTCTAAGCGAACGATAGAATAGTATGCCCACCATAAGAACAAAAAAGACAAATGCTCCCACAAATATTATGACCACAATACATGCATGAACATGTAATTTTAGGTCATCCAATTCACTTTTAAGTTGTGTATTTCGTTCGGCATACAATTGTTCGAGTTCATTATGACGTCGATTTTCTTCCTCCAGTGTGCGTACCGTTTGAATTTGTTGTGTCAGAGTCTGTTGTAACTCTTCGACTTGCTTTTTATAACGTCGTGATAGTTCTTCGAGGTACTGGCCTGACAGAGACATGTTACGCTCAAGAGCCTAAAAAAATATGTTAGAAAATTGAGTAAATGAAATGTAAAATTTGTAAATTGGAGAATATAATTGTTGTAGTTTAGTGTTGGAGTTTAGTAACAGTATCTAAGTTGTTTTATAGAACGCATGCAACTTACGAGTATTATTAGCCTAATATTTATATGTTTAAATGTATGTTTTCCTTTGTAGTAGTCTAAGAGTAAGCTTAACATGTAGTTAAAATACTGAGGGTGTGTATGATAATAATGTAAAAGAAGAAAGGTTAAAAATCCGTACAGTGAAATGAAATTATTATATTTATCAAACTAATGAATCATATTAACCATATCAATCTTATCAGTGAAATTAAAATATTATCTCATTGTATCTAATGTATGTATTTTTCTTATAATACCTCATCAATCCCATCTATAAAGCAGAATATAGACTCCACTATCTATCTATCTATCTATCTATCTATCTATCTATCTATCTATCTATCTATCTATCTATCTATCTATCTATCTATCTATCTATCTATCTATCTATCTATTTATCTATCTATTTATCTATCTATCTATCTATCTATCTATCTATCTATCTATCTATCTATCTATCTATCTATCTATCTATCTATCTATCTATCTATCTATCTATCTATCTATCTATCTACCTATCTATCTATCTATCTATCTATCTATCTATCTATCTATCTATCTATCTATCTATCTATCTATCTATCTATCTATCTATCTATCTATCTATCTATCTATCTATCTATCTATCTATCTATCTATCTATCTATCTATCTATCTATCTATCTATCTATCTATCTATCTATCTATCTATCTATCTATCTATCTATCTATCTATCTATCTATCTATCTATCTATCTATCTATCTATCTATCTATCTATCTATCTATCTATCTATCTATCTATCTATCTATCTATCTATCTATCTATCTATCTATCTATCTATCTATCTATCTATCTATCTATCTATCTATCTATCTATCTATCTATCTATCTATCTATCTATCTATCTATCTATCTATCTATCTATCTATCTATCTATCTATCTATCTATCTATCTATTAATAATGAAATTATTATATTTATCAAACTAATGAATCGTATTAACCACATCAATCTTATCAGTAAAAATCAGTAAAATTGAAATATTATCTCATCGTATCTAATGTACATATCTATTTGTTTATATATACCTCATCAATCTCATCTATAAACCAGAATATAGACTCCACTATCTATCTATCTATCTATCTATCTATCTATCTATCTATCTATCTATCTATCTATCTATCTATCTATCTATCTATCTATCTATCTATCTATCTATCTATCTATCTATCTATCTATCTATCTATCTATCTATCTATCTATCTATCTATCTATCTATCTATCTATCTATCTATCTATCTATCTATCTATCTATCTATCTATCTATCTATCTATCTATCTATCTATCTATCTATCTATCTATCTATCTATCTATCTATCTATCTATCTATCTATCTATCTATCTATCTATCTATCTATCTATCTATCTATCTATCTATCTATCTATCTATCTATCTATCTATCTATCTATCTATATCTATCTATCTATCTATCTATCTATCTATCTATCTATCTATCTATCTATCTATCTATCTATCTATCTATCTATCTATCTATCTATCTATCTATCTATCTATCTATCTATCTATCTATCTATCTATCTATCTATCTATCTATCTATCTATCTATCTATCTATCTATCTATCTATCTATCTATCTATCTATCTATCTATCTATCTATCTATCTATCTATCTATCTATCTATCTATCTATCTATCTATCTATCTATCTATCTATCTATCTATCTATCTATCTATCTATCTATCTATCTATCTATCTATCTATCTATCTATCTATCTATCTATCTATCTATCTATCTATCTATCTATCTATCTATCTATCTATCTATCTATCTATCTATCTATCTATCTATCTATCTATCTATCTATCTATCTATCTATCTATCTATCTATCTATCTATCTATCTATCTATCTATCTATCTATCTATCTATCTATCTATCTATCTATCTATCTATCTATCTATCTATCTATCTATCTATCTATCTATCTATCTATCTATCTATCTTATCTATCTATCTATCTATCTATCTATCTATCTATCTATCTATCTATCTATCTATCTATCTATCTATCTATCTATCTATCTATCTATCTATCTATCTATCTATCTATCTATCTATCTATCTATCTATCTATCTATCTATCTATCTATCTATCTATCTATCTATCTATCTATCTATCTATCTATCTATCTATCTATCTATCTATCTATCTATCTATCTATCTATCTATCTATCTATCTATCTTCTATCTATCTATCTATCTATCTATCTATCTATCTATCTATCTATCTATCTATCTATCTATCTATCTATCTATCTATCTATCTATCTATCTATCTATCTATCTATCTATCTATCTATCTATCTATCTATCTATCTATCTATCTATCTATCTATCTATCTATCTATCTATCTATCTATCTATCTATCTATCTATCTATCAACATTTCTCCAATTTTATATCCTGTTCCACCGTGCACTGTATTATTGACTTGTATCGTAATAATTTCAAACTCTTTTTCACCAACTATCTTGGTAACCAAAATCAAAGTTTCCTTTCTAAAGGAAACTATAATAAAATATATGAAAACACGCAAATTTCCTATTAAACATTCTACACATCTTGTAATGTAACATGTTTGAAAGAGAATAAGAAAACGAAAACATGAAATCACAAGTTCATCACAACAAAATATTAAAAAAAAAAACAAAAAATCACCCTTACGAAACTGTGTCAGGGTAAGAAAATAAAGCAAATTTGAGGCTGAAAATATGTGTCAAAGAAACCTACCTTAATTCGATTTGATAGACGTATAAAAACACTTTCCGATTGGGGACCATTCGAGTTTTTCGGCTGGTTATATTGTGAAGAACCCCCGACGATGGTAGAAGGTACAGTTGTCAATAAATTATCGATATTATCCCAAGAATTTGTGTCTTCTTCGCTTTTAGAAGCAACATTAACTGAATCCATATTGGTTGCAGGCGTAGGAGAAGGTGTTGTAGTGGTTGGAGCAGTAGTAGCGGCTGGTTCAAAGTTTTCAACTGAAGCTGGGGTTTCGGTAACGGTAACAGGTACTTCAGTCTCTGATGATGATGCAGGTTCATCGGCAGGTACATTAAATATATTAGTATCAGGTAAGTTAGGTTTTTGTATAATTTTAGGCGGTAAAGTAGTAGCTTCTAATTGTGCTTCAGGTTCCAAGGGTCTAGGTACCTGTTGATTATCATCTAGATTAATTTCAGTGGAGGTCTCCACAATTTCAGGTGTATGTTTTGTTGAGGGTTTAGTTGGCTCGACGGGTAGGGTGGGTATATCGGGTTTCATAAGCTTCTTTTCGGGATGATCTAGAAGATTTAAGTCCTCCTTGCCAAATTTTTT